CAGTGTCACCTGCACATCACAGTGAGACCTCAGAGTCAGACTGTGGAGTGCACAGGAAGTATGCACAATGTGACTGACCTATGGCTTGTGTCTTATGCCATCAAAGAGCTTCTGAAGGGATTGCCAGTCTTTACTTTTACCTTAAAATGGAATTATATTTATTTGTATGCTTACTTCTTTATTTCCTCTTCATCTTACATGCATCTCATTAACAATATTCTCTTTGTATGCACAGTACTGAGAGAGATATGAATTCTAATGGCAGTTTTCCTATTTTTACTCATAGATTCCCTTACAAAATCTATGTAAATCAGTCACTTAGTATCTTTCCTATTCTGCTATTTTTGTTACTGTCAGTAGTAAAATAAAAAGTATAGATGATATTATTAAACTTTATTTTAATAGTAGATGAATTGAGGGAAAAGTATTTCTAAAACACATTAAATTATTTAACTTTTCATTGGATAATAGTGAAAAATAGGCTTTATCCTTGTTGAAGCCCCTTTAATAATGCCACATATGTTGTGAGAACTCAGCAAATGCTTTTAATGGTCCCTTTTAAATTATGATAAGAATTTAGAATTAAAAGCACATAATTACCTGGGCTGGAATATTTCCAGTATTAGACCTGTTTCAATGAAAATTGAGATCTCAAAATGTTAAATTGTACCTTTCAGTGCATGGCCCTAGATACTAGAACATAGAGCATAGAAGTCAGTGGTCTTAGATTTCATTCCCAGAGCTACTTTAGTTTGCTCTTTTACCTTTGACAATTTTTAGCTTACTTAACCTTTCTTTGCCTGGTCTGAGTTATTGTCACTGCTGTTTTTCTTACTGCTAGTATGATTTTTCTTCTATCAGTTGACCGGTCAAAAACCATATAATAGAGACACCTCTCATGTGCCTGGCACTAGTCTTGGTGCTGGAGATTCAAGTACAAAGAATGAAACAAAGGCTACTCGCAACAGGCTTACCTTCTAATGGGGCAGACTACAAATACACATAAAATATATATGGCTTAAAGATAAAGTGAACAAATGCAAATATATACAGAGCAGTTAAATACAAGGTAATTTGAGAGAGAGTACACTAACAGAGGAGGAGAGGCTCAAGAAGGTTTCCTACAGAAGATGGTGCTTGATCTGAGTCTTAAAGGAAGAGAGGGACTCTCTCTCTCTGAGGCAGAGGCAGAGGCAGAAATAAAGTCCATGATTCCAGGCCTATGGGATGGCCAGTGCAAAGACAGGGACACAGAAGATGAATGTGTGGGGAACAGAGAAGCGACCAATGTGCTGGACTTTAGAGTCCTGGAAGGGAAATGATATCCAGTGAGGTTAGAAAGACAGGTTGGGACCAGGTTGTGATCACCAGGCGATCAGGGATGTGTTAGAACATCTAGAGTTCACAGCAGGGACCAGGACTGGATGTAGAGATCTTGTGAGTCATCTGCATGGAGATGATACTGAAATCAATGAGAGAGAAAAGGGCAAATTAATAATAAAATTCATCTGGAGACACAAAAGATCTAGAATATCAAGGGAAATAATGAAAAGAGGCAGGGATGAAGGAAGAATAGTACTTCTGGGCCTCAGATTATAGGACAAAGTAGCAGTCATCAAAACCATTTAAAATATTTAATACTGATTTAAAAATAGAGAAGTAGATCAGTGGAACAGACTAGAGAAGGGAGAATCAGAAAATAAGCCAGTGTTCAATAAATCAGAAAACGTTGCTTAGGAAAAGAACTACAAATTAGATTTTCAAAAACTTCTGGGAAAACTGGAAGGCAGTGTAGCAGAACATAGGCTTACACCAACACCTAATGCCATATTCCACAATATATTCTAAATGGACTTCTAAGTTTAATATATACCCTAGAAAATTAAAAGAAAAGCAGCTAATCTGTCTTTCAAAGCTGAGGCTGGGATGTATAGCCTTAACCAAATAAGGATTAGAGACAACTATAAAAGCTTCTACAAAACCAAAATTAGTACATTCACAATACAAAGTGAAACACTTGAGTAGGGGTGAAAATCTTTCTATCAGATTTCTCTGATTCGGTATCCAAAGTATATAAATAATCAAAATATATATATGTCTGTATGTGTATAATTGCTGCAATCAAAAGTCATTCTCCAGTACATAAGTGGTCAAATAATATAAACAAACTTCTCAAAAGAAAAATTGCAAATTATTATTTGGAGAATGCTCCAAATCACTAATAATAAAAGAAATGCAAATCAGAATAATCATAGGCTTTACCTCACATCCAACTTGACAGAGATGACAAAAGATGGGAAGAGTCAATGTTGGAGGGCTTATGGGAAGATTGCATTGTTGGTAGAGCTGTGAATCGGCACAAAAATGTCCATACCCTTTGACCCAGAGATTCCACTGCTTGGGAGGCCATTGATAAGAAGAAAGTCCTTACATACACTAGGATATTTATAACAGCACTTTATGTGATAGCAAAAATTTGGAAACAAAGTGAAATCCCACTGATTAGGGAGTGTCTAAACAAATTGTGGTGTTTGATCATAATGGAATATTACAGGGGGCAGCTAGGTGGTGCAGTAGATAGAGCACTGCCCCTGAAGTTAGGAGGAACTGAGTTCAAATGTGGCCTCAGACCAAACACTTAACGCTTACTAGCTGTGTGATCCTGGGCAAGTCACTTAACCCGGATTGCCTAAAAAGAAAATGGAAAAAAAAAGAAATATTACAGAGGGATACATGAAAAAATGAATATGAACTGATCAAGTAAGCAGAGCCAAGAAAACAATATACACAGTGACTACATCAATGTAAATGGAAAAGAACAGCTACAAAATAATCAACTGTAAATGTTGCAGAATTACAGAGAACAAGCGTATCATGACACGTCCCCACCTTGCCACTCTGCAAAGGCGGGAAGTCCATGATGTGGGACATTGCACATGTTTTCAGACTTGCAGTGTATTAATTTGTTCTGTTGACTTTTTTTCCTCAAAAAATACTATTTGTTGTATGGGATAGTTCTTGAGGAGGGGAGGCATACTGGGGAACATCTTGGTGATATAAAAAAAAAACAAGTTACCAGTAATTTATTTTAAAAAACAAAAAGGATCATTGGTAACTTTGGACAAAGTAGTTTCAGTTGAATGTTGAGACTGGGAGCTAGATTGCAAAGGGTTGGAGGAGTTAATTGAGAGAACAGGAAGGGGCAGCGAATATCAACTTCTTTGTCAAGGATTTTGGCTGAGAAAAGTTTTGAGTTCTTTCTGTTTGTTGAGAGATTTGGGTATGTTTGAAGGCAGTAGGGAAGGAGCCATTTGATAGTGAGAGGTTGAAAATTCAAAAAGAGTCAAGGGATGATTGGGGATGCAGTCTGCTAAAGAAGCCAGGAGGGAATGGGATCAAGGCCACAGACAGCGCCAAGAAGTGTTGGCCTTGGCAAGAAGAAAGGCCATCTTTTTGGCACAGACTGAGGGAAAAGATGCTTGCCCTGAAATTCAGACACAGTAAGTTGCCCTCTGCCCTAAGCCCTTTCCATTGGATTGGATGGCTCCTTCCAGAACCTCCATTTAAGGAGTGTTGCCAGGTGAGCCATGGCTTATTCCTCTCCATACTGCATTCAGGACTCCCTCCACCATGCCCCTGTGCTGGGTACCTTCGTTTCTCCCCTTCCCCTTTTCATCTTCCTTTTATATATTGTCTTGCTTGTTAGAATGGGAGCTCCTTGAGAACAGAGACTGCCTTTCTTTTTGCTTGTATTTCTATTTCTAGAGCTTAGCACAGTGTCCAGTACATAGCACTTAATAAATGCAACTGACTGCCTGAGAGTGGAAAATGATGACAAGGAGTTTTGAGATGAAGAAGGAAAAAAGGGAGTTCACATTGAAAAGCCTCAATTTTCTCAGTCAAGAAAGACTGGGGCGGGGGGGAGGGGAGGGGTATGGGAGGTTTGAGGAAAGAAGAGAGGGTTTAGAATCACTTCTGTGGGGAGCGAGTTAGAAAATCAATTAGTTAAGCCATAGTGAGGGCCAAGAGAAGGTTGGATGACATGAATTTTTAATGTTACCAGTCCGTATGGTTGATTTTGAGGTTTCCTTCAGCCATGTTAAGCAGCTCATGGGTAGCTAGTAGCAGCTCTGGCAGCTCTAGGTGAGTGGTGCAGTGGGTGGAGCTCTAGGCCAAGAGTCACCAAGGCTCAAGTTTAAATCCAGCCTCAGACAGTTTACTAGTCTTGGGACCGTAGACAATTAAACCTCTGCCAGTTTAGCACCTACCTCCCAGGGTTATCATGAGGATCAAATGAGATAATATTTGTAAAGCACTTAGCACATGGCATAGTAAATGCTATATAAATGCGAGCTATTATAACAATAATAATTATTATTATGAATAAGAAGAGAGAAGGCAGATGGTGGGAATATCGTGCATGATTTTTTGTTCAACGATATAGGGTTTTTTCCCTCATGTGATCTTATTTTACATTTTCTGAACTTAGACCTCACCAAACATGAATTTTTTCAATAAACAAAGAACAGAGAATAGGACTATATCTGAAACTAGGAATTTAAACAACATAGATTTCCTTGGAAGCTTTTCACCAAGGTATTACATTGGTGTAAGATACAAAATCAAGCAGGCTTCTAAAGCTTTACTTGTTGGAGTGATCAGGGGGGAAGTTTGTTAAGTTTTTATTTTTCTCGGGTGTTTTCAAGGCTCATTTCAGAGCAATTTGATTTTACTCCGTGCTGTTTTCCCATGAGTTTTTCACTCTTACCGTCATCGCAGCACCTTGATAAGTGTGTAATGAGCTTCATAAATAAGTAGATAATGAGCCACATCATGCATCAGAATCTAATGAGCACATCATCTCAGCTTGCCCAGATGGGCATTAGAAACACATTCATCTTGATTTCAAAACCAAGATATGGAACATTAGTGTCACTGAAGCATGACTAGTGAGTTGTCAGCCAGATCATTCACCATGCCTTGCATGTTTGTTTACTTAGAAAGACAACAACAGCTGGAGGCGGAACACCAGGATGTTTATGTTGAAGCAGACCATGACCTGCACCCAACCACAGGTCGCTCTGTGCAGCCACCCTCGGAGAGGCCAGGGGAAAGGCGAATGGTAGAAATGAAGAAATTGTATGGGGAGAGTGCTGCCAAGATCCAGGCCATGGAGACGGCCATGCAGCTCACTTTTGACAAGAACTGTGATAAAAAACAGCCTAAGTACTGGCCTGTTATTCCTCTGAAGCTATGAGCCACACGAAGCCCCTTACTGGAAACAAACACCCAGCGGAACCTCAAGGTACACATTGTTCTAAGAACAGAGAATGCAGGGGTTACACCTCCTCTTCCCTTCCTCTTTCTATTTTGGTGCATCTTTCCCAACTTTATATCTTTTCCAGCTTCCAAGAAAAGAAATTTATCTCTTGAAACTTTGATCTATTTTGGTCCACTCACCCAAATGCAAGAAGAAATTTAGCATATATTGAGTATCTCTTTATGGTATAAAGTGATAACTCCGCCATCGTATTTTCTTTAATTCTTAAAAATTCCATTGTATCAGTATATTTAAGATGTTCCAAACTAAACTGTTGTACTGTTGTGGATTGTAAACATTTTTGTTGTGCAACATATAAAGATTATAAATTTCAAAGTAATGTGTTACCATTTTAAACACATTTTATTATATTTGCATACCTAATTTTATTTTTCTATATCTCAAAAGTTTTTGTTTCAGTTGGATAACATGAATTGACAAAAAAATTTTCAAGATTAAAGAATACTTGTTGGAACACATAGTTCCTCTTCTTTAATTATGAAATGTTTATTATAAAATGAGGCACACTAATAGTAGATTCTAACCTCTCATTGCAAATTTCACATTAGACATTGAAGTCTTATTTGCGTTACAGTGTGGGTAGTGTTTGTCTTTAATTTGGTATACTGCAAAATCTGTGCTCTTAAAATTAAGGTATAATGTCAATGATGCTGCTTCAGGCTCTGGAGTTCTTATTTATTCTGATGTACTTGAGATAAAGCCTTTACTTACATAATTTTTATATTGTAAATTTGGGTAAATTTTATATTGAACATCCAAAATGTTCACAAGAGCTGTGTATTTGCAACCTATATGGACAGATAGGAGATGCTGATCATAGATTTGGACGATCTTGATAAAATAAAAACCTTCTTTACATGGAAAGTAATCATTATTGTGTGTTAAAGTGTTCTTACTTTTTTTTAATTTATTTTTTAAAATGATTATTAGTTCTACTTCATTAAGTTTCTCTCAGGAATTCCTAGGTTTCCTCTTTTTACATTATTTTCTTCCATCTTTAATCAGAAGGCAATTAAAGAAGTTCCCTAATTTGTCTTGGCCTGTTTCTTCGTCAGAAAAGTAAGGATTGGCAATAAATGCCTTCTAACATTCCTTCTACCCCTAGAGGTCTTGTAAATTACTATTGGCTTGATGCCTTTGTCAAGCAAGACATAGTTGTAATACTAGCTCTGGATCAGGTCATTTAATCACCAGATCTGATTTATGTAATTACTGCTTAATCATTCCTGAAGCACCTGAATTTTATACTTTCAAAATTTGTAGTAAAGTACATGGTACTTTCTGAACTTGAGTGCCTAACCTATATTTTTCATAATGGAATTGACTTAGTGCCATACAAAGCAAAGATTTTTCTAGAGCAAAGGAATGAAATTCCACTTTTCGGAACTGTAGAAGTCCACAAAATGATGTACAAGTCCATTTGTAAAAGCTATCTACCTCTTAAATAAATTGTTACTGTTTGTTGCCTTTATGGACCTGTGCTGACCTCAGAAGATTAGCACATCAATCAAATGGTGGTGAAAAGACTCACTATTGGCATGTTTCTCCCTAAGAACACTTAACATTTCAGCACTTGCCCTGAGACAAACCTTCATCAATTTCAAATTTCATTACTTGGTGTTTCAATTTGTACTTGGACACTCAAAACAAAATTCAGAATTCACTTTCCCGTAAGTTAAAATATGACCAAAAGGTTATCAGACATATTTTTATCCTCCTCATGCCAGGATTTTTTTAAAAGAAAAATGATGTTTATGTAAACATGATATAAATATTCCATGCCTAAAATTTGCAGTGTTCTTTCCACTTGAGAGTCCAGATGATGCCCTGACCCAAGAATTACCATCCCCGTGATTTAAATAGTCCTTTAAAAATATAGCCATACATACTACTTTATAAGAGGATATTTTCTGCTTTTTTCTCCTTATCAGTTAAGCGCAATGCATCATGTCGTCAGGTAGTACACAGTGAGTCAAATAACATCTGTATTCTTTATCATTCTCCATAAAATAAATCATACTCAAGGAAATCATTAGTCTAGACCAGTATCTCCTTGTAAATTTGACCCACATCATCTCTACAGTTCTTATTTATTACCTTTTCTTAAATCTGTAAAAGCTTGAGTGGAAGCTTTGAGCATTAATCAGCCTGCTTCTGCAATGATGAAAAATGTTGTTCCTGTAAGCTGCTATAACCAGGTGAACCTTTTGTGCCTTAACAGAGTTTTTAAAAGGATTTCTTTGTCCCCCAAAAGCTTCTAGGGGATCAACTAATGTGGGAAAAGCCTATGACTCATTCATCAGAGGTGCCTCTCCCAAACCATACTGGAAATTCCCCACAATTGAATTAATAAAGATGACAATTTGTTTTAAATGTTCTTGAATTATACAGTAGAATATTTGTGAAGTTTATATCTATTTCTGTTTCTCCTTAAAAAGGGCTAAGGGGCCTAAGCTTGATTTTCCAATGTAAGATTTTTTTAAAGCCTCTAGCCTCCCTGAGTATTCCAAAACAATGCTGAAAACACCACATCATAATGAAGGCACTGAAGCATAGATTACCTGCCCAGGGGTTAGATTTCTCTCTGATTAAGAGCATCATGAATTTACTAATTTTCTGCTAGTCCATGTGTTAGTACTTAGTTAAAACAGATCGATTTTAATAAGGAAGGTTATTCCATTCATTTGGAGTTTTCTCTACATTTGTTTTTATACTTTTTCTGCTACAGCACAATTGTAACTGATTCCCTTTTTGTTTACATGGTTCTGGATAGCTTATTTCCTTTCTTTGTCTGAGTCATAGAATCTTAAGAATTGAAAGGGACCATAAAAATTGTATGGTCTTCCCACCCAATATATAAAATAGAAATGGAGGCCACCAATCTGTACATAAGGATCCCTGTGAGGCTCATATTGGCTTAGTTTTAAAATGTAATGTTATCTGTTTTATTGTATTTGTATTTATGTTGTTAAAATGTTTCCCAATTACATTTTAATCTGGTTTGGGCCACATTTGGGAGTGTCGCAAACCACCTGGGCCATTTGACTCCTCTGCTTTAGAGCATGCTGGTTCTATTGGAATACCCCCAAATGATAAAGAGATTGTAAGCTATTGAAACAGCCCACTCCGTTTTTGAACAGAATCCAGGAGTTTCCTTTCTCCCCTCTGAAACTATGCAAAATAGATCTCATCTTTCATCTATGTATCACTCTTCCAGATATTTGAAAACAATTTTCATTCCTCCTTCTCCAGGATAAATATCTAAAATCTTCAGATTAAACATAGTTAATTCTTCCCAACTGTTCCTTGTAATGGCATTATCCGGAGACCTGTCATTCTAATCACCCACCTCTGAACAGGTGCTCCAGTTTTCTTGTCAGGAAACTGGAAATAAAGCTAAAACCTGTTGCTGCTTTGTTTACATGTGTGCTGAGCAATGCTATTAAATGTACATTTCAGATTCTATGATTATTTTAAAACTTAGCTGTACCACATTCTCACTCAGGTAAGGGGTTCTAAATACTTCAGCATTATAGTCTTATACCACGCAAACTTGAAAATATGACCAAAAGGCTATCAGATATATTTTTTTACTTATGCCAGAATTTTTTTAAAAAAGGAAAGTGATGTTTATCAAAACATGATCTAAATATTTCATGCAATATTTTAACTAACAAGTAGCTATAAATTTCTCTGTGCAGACCTAGGGTTTAGGCATGAACAGAATGATTTATTTCACTATAATTCTTGGCATCCACTTTCATTCTTAGCTCTAACCAGAGCCAGAGGCTTTTCACTCAGAAGCAGAAAACTTTGGATCCACAGAAAGAGCCGTGTCCATTCTGCAAGTATCTAAGGCTCTCATCTTCTGGTTCCAACTGAAATAACAAGCCAGGATCTTACAAAACACCTCAAAGTTGAGTCTGTAAGAAATTTAGAACCTTGGAGGCAACCTGGTGCAGAAAATGGACTTGGTAAGGAGCATGAGTCAGGAACAAGTAACAATGAGTGGGCAGAGAATTGAATGGTTGTAGTCAGAGATGCCCTGGCCTAGCAAACATTGGACTTCCTGTTTAGAGTGAGAAACTTTATCAAATGCTTTCTTCTGGACCAGTTATGTTTTTCAGTTTTCTTTTTATTCAATTGCAGTTGAACTTTAGGTATATTAGATTTATGTAACTGAAAAGTATGCTTATGATCTGTTATATGTAGAGGCTAGAGATATGAGGGGCTAGAGGTATAAGGTTTGTGTATATGTAAGTGTATGTGTGTGTGTGAATGTGTGTTTTATATATATATATATTATATATTACACACACACATATATATGTAATTAAAGGCACTGAGTCTAGAGATGTAATAGATCCTGATTGCAGGGCAAATATGGATCACATCAAAAATATTACTTCCTGAGCCTTGAAATGAGGACTTAAAAAAAAGGGGAACTCTGCATCTTTCCAAAACATTTGGTTATTAGTAATCATTTATCTCATCTGTGGTCTTCCTGCATGAGAATGTAAGTTCCTTAAGCCATCCTCAGGAACATCCACTCTTTCAAGGGCATATAAACAGTGAGCCCACTAGCATAACTTGTCTTTAGCATTCGAAAGTGTCACTGGCCTATTTTATTGGTAATATGCTAGCATTATTAATAAAATGATGAATTACTCAGGAAAAAAGAATGTTACTGCCTAATAGGTTGGAAAACTAGAATGTGGAAGAAAAATTCAGAAAGGGAGATAGGAGAACACCTAGGACTAGGCCCTTTTTCTCATCCTATCAATATCCAAATGTCAAGGAGCAACTGTTTTCCTTTCGAGAATAGATCTGAAAAGATACAGGAACCCTAACCTATATCTACCTTATCCTTCTCTGGTATAGCAAATCAAAGAGGTGAGACTTCCCCTCCCCATTTATAACTGGAAGACATGATGGAGATGTGAGAATGCTAAGGTAGAGGGTCCAAGAAGTGTGGAGAAGACAATATAAAAACAGAGATAGGAAGGTATCAGAGTGTCTCCTGTTCATGGTTCAGCCATTTCAGTTATGTCCAACTCTTCATGGCTCCATTTGGGATTTTCTTGGCAAAGATCCTGGCATGGTTTGCCATTTCCTTCTCCAGTTCATTTTACAGATGAGAAAACTGAGGCAGACAGGGTTAAATGACTTGCCCAGGGTCACATAGGGTCTCTGAGGCCAGATTTTAATTCAGGAAGATGAGTCTTCCTGACACCAGGCTGTGTCACACACACATACATGTAAATCTATATATGTATGTATAATAGACTTTTACAGATAATATATATGTGTGTGTATAGATATAGCAATAATATAACTTGAACCTTTGTAAGTGAGGAGCTCACAGAACTCTAGGCCAGAATTTTTTTGTATGAGTTTAACCAAGAAAATATTTGTCTTTATTCTCCCCAGTGCTCCTTCCAATATACCACACTACTTTTAATCTTTGGGAGATGCAGAAGAGCTTGTACTCTAGTCTCGGAATCAAAAGAACTGACTTCAGGAACTACTACCTGTGTCATCCTAGACAACAAGACACAACCTCCCGGCCTCAGTTTCCTCATCTGTAAAATAGAGATGATAATGCTTATACTAGCCACCTGACCAGACTGTTATGTAGAAAGCACTTTATAAAAGCTATGTATGAGTATTATTACTTGATGCTTAGTAATCGCATGAAATTCATCTGCACGAGTTAGAGGCTGAACTATAAATACAATAGCTAAAAGTTTTAAGTGAGATTATAAATGATAGCTTTAATGTGTTAATGAAGGAAACTAGGGTATCTAGAGGAGCACTTCCCTAAGCTTCTGAGGCTGATGTCAAGAAGGATAACACTGTCATTTGGTA